GGCCCTCCAATCAGAACGCGCCAGCGCCCACGCAGCCAGAACCTCGTGCCGCTGACCCCGCCCCGCCCGGGCCCTCCAATCAGAACGCGCCAGCGCCCGTAGGGCCCGGACCTCGTGCTGCCAGCCGGGCCTCTCCGCGCGTGGGCAGTAGTGCGCGGAGCGCCTGCCCCGCAGCGGCTGTCCCTGAATCAGTCCCCCCCAGACGCTCTGGGGGCCCCAGGCCTCAGCCACCAGGGGGTGCAAGAACTTGGTCTTGACTCGCTCTCCACCTGTTTCCTCTAAGATCATGTACGCGGCGTGGCTTTTCAGGCGGGCAAGGGATAGACATTGAACACCTGCTGTGTGCCAGGCCCGGTGCAGAGCTGCTGGGGTCCCGTGCTGAGAGACCCCAAGGTGGGAGATGGGAGGCAAACGGGAGAAGGGATCTGGGTGTGTATTGTCGAGGTAAACAGCTGGCTGCAACACTGGGACACCGTGCACCTGACCTGGGGACAGGAGCAAGAAGGTCAGGAAAGGCTTCTGGGATAAAATTACACCTAAGTGGACACCTGCAGGTTAATCAGGAAGGAGGCACGTGAAGGGTGATTGGTGGGAACGATTCACAGGGGAAGGTCCTCCATGGACGAAGGCCTGGACTGAGGGCCTGGAAGAAGTTCTGTGCGGCCACAGCGTAACTAAATGGAATTCATCTTCTTTCCTAAGCCTGCATCGGACGTGCAGCGTCCTCCGCAGCGAGGGAAGGAGGCGGCGAGAGGCACAGATCGGGTGGTCGTCCGCAGATGGTGGGTGGTAAGACCCTGAGAGTCGCTGAAATGGGCCAGACTGAGCTCTAGAAGAGTGAAGGTGGAGGACAGAACCCTAGGAAAGAGCCTGGAAGATGAGGCAGGGATGGGGGAACGCAGCAAAGGTATACAAAGGAAGGAGGCCCGCAGGGAGAACGAGAAGAGTCGCGTGAATCCCTGCCAGCCTTCGTACCGTCAGTGCCAAGCCTAACCCGCCTTCCCGTGCGCTCTCAGGAAAGACAGTGTGAAAGAGAACGTGGAAGGATCCAAGAGCGTGGCGCTGACCAACACTGGGAAGTCTAGTTAGGGACTAGAAAATGCTCCAAGAGTGGCAAGCAAGAGGTCCGCTTCAGGACAGTGCCGACAGAAGGCCGACTAGGCGGGGGTTACACTCTAGGTGTTTCACAAAAAAAAAGAGCCCAGCCTGGTGCTGAGCCGGGGGTCCCAGGTCCAGATCCTGACCACACCACTAGCTTCTATCGCGGGCTCTGGGCCTCAGGCTCTGACTTGTCCAGATGCAGCAGCCTGCAAAACTGTCCCTCACACACACATCTTTTGGCAATGGGAAAGAACCCGTTTTGCAATAAGTAAAAATGTAATCGTAAAGTCATTGAGACTCTTGATATGTCATTCAGCATTGACTAAAAATACTGTAACTTCATCCTTGATGTGAAGGCCAGCACATGTTCTAAATTTCCCAAAATACATCGAAACCACTTCAAAAGACTGAAACTCCTCTTTGTGTCTCCACACTGTATCACCCCTCGTCGGCGTCAGCGTACGTTTTCAGGTGACAGATGAAGGTTTCCTTCCACGAGAACGTTTTCCAGAGGGCTTTTCCTTTTTTTGAGTATCATTGACGCACAATGCGACGCTAGTTTCAGGTGTGCAATGTAGTGATTGGACAACCAGACATTAGGCCGAGCTGACCACACGTGTAGCTGCCACCTGTCACCACTCAACTAGATTCCCTGCACTCTGCCTTTCATCCCGTGACTTACTCATTCCATAACTGGAAGCCTGAACCTCCCCCTCCACGTCACCCGTTTCACCCAATCCCGCCTTCCCTCTGGCAACCATCAGTTTCTTCTCTGTATTTATAGGTCTAATTCTGCTTGTTGGTTTATTCATTTTTTTTTTTTTTTTAGATTCCACATATCAGTGAAATCATATGGTATTTGTCTTTCTCTGGGTTATTTCACTTAGCATAATACCCTCTAGGTCCATCCGTGTTGTTGCAAATGGCACAATTTCATCCTTTTTATGGCTGAGTAATAGTCCAGTGTGTGTGTGTGTGTGTGTGTGTGTGTGTGTGTTCCTTATCCATTTGTCTATCAAGGGACACCTGGACTGCTTCCATATCTTGGATATTATAAATAATACTGCAATAAACATAGGGGTGCTTTATCTTTTCAAATTAGTGTTTTTGTTTTCTTTGGGTCAATATTCAATATTGGAATTACTGGATCATATGGTAGTTCTAATTTTTTGAGGAACCTCCATACTGTTTTCCACGGTGGCTGCACCAATTTACATTCCCACCAACAGTGTTCAAGGGTTCCTTTTCCTCCCAAGTGTTTCTCTTGCCAACACTTGCTATTTCTTGTCTTTTTGATTTTAGTCATTTTAATAGGTATAAAGTGGTTGGAAGACTTTTTCTATGTTCTTTGAACTTTTGGGTTGCTATCTCCCTCAGTCCTCTTGAGTTTTGAGTTTTTAACAGTAGTTTAAGGAGACTGTCTTGATGCTTCAGTTTCAAAATTTGTTCTCATTTAATTGCCACTTTCCTGAGTTGTAGTTAGCATTCTGTGTCGTCACAGAAAATAGATTTGACCCCTTCATTTCATTGGTAGTTCTTGGTGCTTCATACTCAATTAGCGCAGCTCAACTTGCATTCCTCTCCAAAGTTGAAAGAGACAGCTCGACAGTTCTTAAAAGGCTTGTAGACATTTAGACCAGAGCACAGAGGAAGCCATGGGCCTTGGTGGAGGTTTTGCATATTTTCATTCCCAGAACAGTTTATGCCGCAGACCCAAAGGGAAAACAAGTAGTTGAGACAATTATAAATGATGTCGGTGCCGGTAAGCAGCACTCTTGACAAAGTGGGAGAAGTGTCCCAAGTACCTTCATGTCTTCTCTGACCTTCTCAGCTGCAAAATGCAGAATTCTGCACTTTGCATAAATCTGCTGGGTGGCTCTGTCTTCAAACCATTGTTTCCTTTGAAGATGTATTTTTCATAGGGGGTTTTGGCTTTGCAACAAAAGACATGAAAATTCTGTTGATCTCAAATGGAGTTTGAAGTTCAAAAGCTTTGTTATCTTAAAATAGATTATGATGATATTTGTAAGTTGTTCCTAAATGCTTATTGTCGTCAGCAGTTTCCTACCTTATTTTTTTTTAAGATTTTATTTATTTATTTGACAGAGAGAGACACAGTAAGAGAGGGAACACAAGCAGGGGGAGTGGGAGAGGGAGAAGCAGGCTTCCTGCCGAGCAGGGAGCCCTATGTGGGGCTCGATCCCAGGACCTACCTTATTATAAGTCTCAAACATTCTTTTCCAAGATAATGGTTCACAAACTGGGTCCTTATCTCAGGACCCCTTTATACTCTTAAAAATTAATGAAGTGGGGCGCCTGGGTGGCTCAGTTGGTTAAGCGTCTGCCTTCGGCTCGGGTCATGATCCCAGAGTCCTGGGATCGAGTCCCACATCAGGCTCCTTGCTCAGCGGAGAGCCTGTTTCTCCCTCTGCCTGCCGCTCCCTCTGCTGTGCTCGCTCTCTCTCTCTCTCATTCTCTCTCTCTCTGACAAATAAATAAAATCTTTTTAAAAAGTTAATGAAGCCCCTAGAGAACTTTTGTTTATGTAGGTTACATCTACTTTATTAGGGATTACAACTGAGACACTTTACTTATTAATTCATTTAAAAATAGCAATGATAAACCTATTTGATGTTAAAGGGAATATTTTGATGAAAAGTCACTATATGTGTGTAAAGAATGACACTCTTACATTTTTGTAGATTTCTTAATGTCTGCCTTCATGGAAGATAGCTGGATTCTCATATTCGTTTCTGTATTCATTCTGTTGTGACATCACAAGTCGGTCTCTGGAAAACACAGAACCCTTGTGAGATACTTCTAGAGAAAAAGACAAAAACATTTTACCATTGTCATGAAAATAGTTTTGATCCCCAGAGTTCTTGGAAACCCCCAAACCACACTTTGAGAACGACTATCCTAAAATAGCAAGATTTTCAGGTGGTGAATACAGTTTTCATTTGTTCTAAGCCTTTGTCCCTTGGAAGCAGGACCATGCTTGTTGCTCTTCCTTCCATCTGAGCTCACTTTCTTTCCACCTGAATAAAGAACATTGATTTTTTTTTTTTTAAACTCTGCATCTACTGGTGATCGTTCTCTGTCTTTGGTTATCCAAAATGTCTTTTTTTGCCTTCCTTATTGAAGGCTAATTTCTGCATGCATAGAATTCTAGACTGACAATTAAGATTTTTTCCTCATCTTTAGTTTTCCGTGGTTTTATTATGATGTTTCAAGGTGTTGGTCTATTTTCATTTATCTGCCTGCTGGGTTTCTGGAAGGCTTTTTGAATCTTTGGTGTATTTTTTGTCCCCATCACTTTTGAAAAATTCTCAGCCAGCCATTATCTCTTCTAATATTTCTGCCCATCTCACTCTCCTTTCCTTCCGAGCCTCCAATTACACATAAGAGGGACTTTTCTGTTGTACCCTAGCTCTCTAATCTAATCTCCTGCTAAACCTACCCAATTTCTATTTGGTTCTTTTTCAGATCGGCTAAGTGGGTTTTTTTGTTTCTTTTTTTACGATTTCCAGTTTTCCGCTGAAATTTTCAGTCTTGTTTATTTCCTTGCACATAGTAAGCCGAGTTGTTTTGAAAGCCTGTGTCTGTTAAGCCCAGTTTCTGTTGACTAAACCTATTGTGCACAGAAATCGCTGCATAAAAATGTGCAGAGCAAAAAAGTTAATACAAAGAGAAAGAGCAAGAAAACCACGAAGGGGAGACGACTTCTCAGCCTTTAACTCGGGAGGTAAAGACGGCCCCTTTTTCAGGTTGACCGGGGCGACCGCTGGGGGCGCTGTGGCGCGCAGGCACGGTCCGGGAGGCGCTCTGGCCTCGGAGCGCTGCCGCTCCTTCCGCCTTCCCGGCGGGCCCCGCGCGGCGCTTGCGCATTCGGTGACCTTTCCAAGTCGTTGGCAGTGGGTATTGCGGCGGCCCGAGCCGGGGTTCTTGCGCCGAGGTGAGTGCGGGGGGAGCGGCCGGTTGTTTCGAGCGGGGCCGCTAGGCCCGCGGGGCGCAGGGCGACGAGCGAGAGAGCCGCCTGGCCCCCGCTGACCTTGGGGGTCCTGCCGCGGTCCCCGGCCGGTGAAGGGAGGCGCTCCGCGGAATGGCGGGTCGTGGGAAGTCCCTCCCTGTCCTTTGGCCAGGACCGCCGCACTCCTCCGATGATGGGGAGCGCGCCCCAGCCGTGCCGGGGTCGGCCACCTGCCCGAGGGCGCGCCGCGCCTGGAGATGGAGCCCCGACCCCGGCCTGGAGCGCCTGCCCTGCGTTTAATACCTTCTCTCCTTGGCACCTCGGGTTTCCTTGCAACGCAGTGCCCTGCAGGTGACCCCGGCACAGCAGAAGGCCTTAGGGAGGGGACACGGGGCCCACGACGGGGTCAGAGGCGACGGTTGCAACTGTGTGGCACTTAGCTCTGGAATCCCAGTCTGGGCTTCAGCGGGTCAGACGGACCCTGTCTCCCGTGTAAGGCCAGCTCATAGTTTGCTGTTAACGTGCCCAAAACTTCGCAGACACAGTGGACGCCCGTTTGACCAAAGGATGGGCCTTTGGAGGAATGATTGCTCTAAAACCCCCACACAGCAGCGCCTGTCGTGAAGCGTCTGCCTTCGGCTCAGGTCATGATCCCGGGCTCCTGGGATCGAGCCCCGCATCGGGCTCCCTGCACCAAAGGAGGCCTGCTTCTCCCTCTCCCTGTGCCTGCCGCTCCCCCTGCTTGTGCTCTCTCTGTCAAATAAATGATCACAGGGGTCCTGGGATCGAGCCCCGCATCGGGCTCCCTGCTCCAAAGGAGGCCTGCTTCTCCCTCTCCCACTCCCCCTGCTTGTGTTCCCTCTCTCACTGTCTCTCTCTCTGTGTCAAATAAATAAATAAAATCTTTAAAAAAAAATAAACCCCCCACACAGAGCTGGTAATGTGGATGGACAGTGGACTCAGATGGGAAAGGGTCTCACTTTATTAAGAGGTCGCTTGTCCAGAAAAATATGACAACCTTGGCCAAAAGGAAAGTGGGGCAGGGATAGGTAAGTGTTTGTAGTGTAGGAGGGAGCATCCCAAGATAATTCTAGGTGAAAAGACAATGCCGGGGGCCCTGGGTCCTGAGCAGAAAATGGGGTAGCTGGTGTTTTTGCAGCACCCTCTTCCCTCCTTTGCACTCTCTCACTGTGCTTTGCTGTTTTCCCTCCAGATCTTCATCTGGCCTACGTGAGGGCATCTTCTTACGTTCTCCCTCTTAGAATCCCAGGAGCTTGGTACCATTGCCCTCAGCTGGGTGTTTGTAGCACTTCCTTCTGCTGTTGCTGTGACCGATGACCAGTTGGGCCATTCACGTTTCCTCCTTGCATGCCAGCAAGATCCCTGTGAGGCAGGTGGACATATCCCTGTGTCACAGAGGGGCAACCTTCTGAAAGGACAACTCCAGGAACTTGGCCAAGGTTGGGATTGGAACCCAGGATTCTGGCCCCACTGGGAGCTGGGAACACGTTCTTGCCCAGTCACTGCCAGGCTCAGGGAGGAGGGGAATGCACTTGGTCCCTCTGAACTCTTCTTCCCACCTGGGGGTTTTAGAGGCCTCTTGCAGGTCCTGTTTGGGTCTTCTCAGCCACCTTCTAAGGGCAGGGTTGTTGGTTTCTGGGATCCTCATGCTGTGACAGAGCATCCCAGTCTGAGGACAGGAAATGTGAGGGTAGACGTCTCTGCAGGGGGTTCCGGGAGGAGGACACAACCACATCGTTCAAGGTCACATTTGGGGCAGGGGGTGGGGCTGGCTAGCCTTTAGGACAGTGCCGCAGCCTGAGTAAGTTCTCAGAAGAGCTGATTCTCCCTAGTAATGAGGATTGGGGGGCAGGGTGATTCATAGATCCAGCTGTGTGACCCCCGGCAACTCTCTCACAAGTAGCCACTTTGTAGGCGTTAGGTGGTCGTGCAGGAGATAAGTATGTAAGCACGTTGTGAATGCTGTTAGGGTTGCCTGACATTCTTAGAGTAAAAGCTGAATTTTTCACCATGGCCTCCAAGGCCCTAAATGACCAAGCTCCTCCCTCCCACAGTCTTAACAGCACTCAGCGTGGGACACCACACACTGTGAATTCTTGATGCGGAGGAACTCTTCTTCATAAGTTCCCTCTGTGGGTGGGTGGTGTTTTTATCCCTGTTTTCCAGAGGAAGAAATTGAGGCACTTGAAGTTAGTGGGATTTGAATCTGGGCAGCCACTGTGGCTCCCCTTTCCTCCCGGACTCTGCGAGTCCGTCCTGACCTGGGGTCTTGGTACATACACTGCCTCCGCCAAGGACACTCTTGTCGCAGGTATTCTGCCTCCTTAGGAGCTGGTTCCTCAGCCCCTAAACAATGCCTGCCACCTAGTACATGCTCACTTCACATCTGCTGAGTAAACAATGATCACGCAGGAGAAAAGTGAAGAGAAGTAAAATTCCATGTAGCCCAAATAGTGATGCAAAGAAGCGGTAGCTGAGGCTCTGGTCAGGGTGGGGATGAGCAACATCACTAACTGAAGCCAAAGTAGTGTTTTCAAGGAAAATGCAAAGTACTTGGATCTGGTTATTCCTGACAATGATTTGAATGACTGTAGTTTAATAGACCACTTGATGTTACAAAGCTAAAATGAAAATAAGGGCATCCAATTTTAGAGTCTAGTAAATTTTAATCAAAAGCCTTACTTTGAGACCTGCTCATAGAAGCAAACTTTGTCAGTTCAGCATTTGATGACTTTTCCCAATCAAAATGCAGTAATTAGGTAAATGTTTTTATTCATTAAATAAGTGATGTCGTGATTGCAGCTCTCAGGAAGTGACTTCGTCATCCTACACTGCGTTTAGCAGCAGATTTCTAGGCTGAGTGTGGGTCTCACAAGGACCTGTGTTCTTTTTCAGCTCTGAATGCCAGCAGTTCTTCACATGGTGATGCAAACATACTAGTTGTTTTATTTAAAAGTTTGAAAAACGTGGTGTGTAATTTTGGGCATAGCATCAGGGGAGAACAGCTGTGAGGGGGAAGAACGTTCGGGACAGGGCAAGATGGCACGGGCTGGGCACCGGGGGCTCGAGGGGTGAGGGTTGCTGGAGCCCCAGGATGGCCGAGGTTGGCAGCCTTGGAGGTGAGTGGGGCTTGAAGAACTGCCGAGCGGGGGCCCCATTATGGGTAGGAATGGCTGCTGGAGAGTGGCACATGAAATGGTCAAATTTAAGAATATATATTGGAACCTCTTACCAGTTAGCTTTAAAACAACAGTCACGGTGGGGCGCCTGGGTGGCTCAGTGGGTGAAGCATCTGCCTTCGGCTCGGATCATAGTCGCAGGGTCCTGGGATCGAGCCCCGCATCGGGCTCCCTGCTCAGCCTGGAGTCTCCTTCTCCCTCTGCCCATCCTCCGCTGCTCATGCTTGCTCTCTCAAATAAATAAAATCTTTAAAAAAAAAAAAAAAGATAGTGATGGTAGTATTTATCACTGTGTTCCTTTTCAGATGCTTCAAAGCCTTATTAAAAATGTTTGGATCCCCATGAAGCCCTACTATACCCAGGTTTACCAGGAGATTTGGTTAGGAATGGGGTTGATGAGTGTCATCATTTATAAAATCAGGAGTGCTGGTAAGTTTCTTTATGTCGATTCATTAGCAGTCAGGATGAACATTATTTTCAAAAGGAATCATGATTCCTGTTGTGAAGGAACAACAGTTCTTACCCAGAAGTGAGCATCAGAACCCTTTGTTAAAATGTGGGGAGTACGGGCGCCTGGGTGGCTCAGTTGGTTAGGCGACTGCCTTTGGCTCAGGTCATGATCCTGGAGTCCCGGGATCGAGTCCCACATCGGGCTTCCTGCTCGGCGGGGAGTCTGCTTCTCCCTCTGACCCTCTTCCCTCTCGTGCTTTCTCTCATTCTCTCTCTCTCTCAAATAAATAAAATCTTTGAAAAAAAAAAATGTGGGGAGTACATGTCAGCTGTAAGAGACATTTGGGGAAAACTGGGAAAATGTGAACAAGGCCTTGATAATGGGGGATTCTGAGTTCCCTAGGTGTAACAGTGGTGTTTCGAATGCACAGGAGATGTCCTTCATTGGAAGAAACTGCGGAAATCGTTAGGGGTAGAGTGTCCTGGCGTGTGGTGTGTTACTGTACCTTTCCCACCGCTGTGAACATTTGAACTGTTTTTATAATAGAAGTGGGGGCAGGGTGACTTTTGGAGCAGAGATGACTCAGTGGAACAGAGATGAGGCCCAATCATGTATTAATAAGCAGTTGGTTTAGAAGAGGAGAGAAGGGAGAAACTCTAAATTCCAAGACTGGAGTCTGGGGAATGGTCGGGAGTGGAGAGTCCTGCAGATTCCGAAGGGCTCCTCGCTCCTCCGAGCCATCTTTGGTGGCAGCAGTACCACCTCTTGGCTGGGAGGCACCGTCGGAACTCCTGTTTCCTGAAACTTCACGTAACCGCTTTACCTCAGCTGTGAACTTTTCAGCCAAATGTTGATTTTAGCAGTGGTCAGTTGACCAAGAACATTTTTGTAAAGCATTGATACAACCAGTGTTTCTTTCTTTTTATTTCAGATAAAAGAAGTAAAGCTTTGAAAGGTAAGAATTTTGCTTCTTCAAAGGGACGGGGAACGCAAAACACCGTCGAACCTTTCCAGGACAAGGTGTGTCACTGCTCACAAAATGTATACAGCGCAGGGGGGACTAGAGAACGTGAAGTGTGCTGTCCCTACCGGAAAAGAGAATTCGGAAGTTCTTCTTACAGTCTGAGCATTAAAAACCATTGCTCACCGCCTTGGGCCAAGTAAAACTGCCAGGGGTACTAGGAAATGGGTCGCTGCTTCCCCCAGGAGGGCAGCGCCAGGCTAGCTGTGCAGGAAGCCGCCTTGTGAAATGTGTCTGGAAAGAAAGCACCACATGAATGTATGTCCTGGTGCTGGACATGTCTTCACTCTTTTCCCCAAATGACAGTGAAACTGTAGTCATTTGAGTCCTCCCAAAGCCCCAGGGCTCGCTGGTGACCCCTGGGCAGTAGACACTCCCCTGCGCTCCAGCCTTGTGCTGGCAGGCGAGCTCCCAGGTATGCAAGGGGAATACACGAAACCCTTACACCTGCTGGGCGCTCCTCGTAGAGATGACCCTCCACGTGTCTTCGTTGTATTAAAAATTGTCGTTGACAGTTTCTGACTTGTTAATACTCATGTTATAAACTGTCTTCCATGGTTTCCTTTCTTCTTCAATGATGTCTGTATTATGCGTCTCTTTCTACAGCTTCCAGTCCTGCGCCTGCTCATGGCCATCATTGACCGGCTGTACTTGGAGCACACGTCCGATGGAGCATCAGTCTGTTTGTAAATCTCAGCGCGCTGTTAGATGGGAACGTGGAGCGCCGCCGTACACTTGTAGATGTGTTGTGTCCCCTGTGGCGTGAATAAATGTACCTGAGGTGCACCACTGCCCACACCTGTGTCCCTCTGTCCGCTCCCCCGTGCGCCACACAGCAGACAGTTAGAATCTGAGCGAGCCATCCCATCCCAATGACCGTAGGACTTGGGGCTTCAATGTGGCCCTCACTTCTGATGTCTGATAAATATCCACTACACAGGTGATTCTGCCACTTACTCCTGTGACCTCGCTGAGCCTTGTGTTTTCTCGTGTGGACAGCGGGACTGCTTGTCAGTTCTCACCTAGAGTTATTGTGAAGATCAGTAAGGAAGGTGTGGAAAAGCATTAGTTGAACTGTAAAACTGCAGAAATAAGGGACGAGATTATGTGGTGGGTGAAATTTATAAGCTCTAGGAGATTCTATCAGGAAGTCACTGATAAGGCAAAGTACATAATGTAAAAAACTGATATTTCTCCTAGTTTGGGTAAACTAAATACTGCATGATATTTGCCTCCATCTAAGGCAATTAACAAACCCTTAGGATTGCACTTTTTTTTTTAAGATTTATTTTTATTTTGGGTGGGGGGGAGAGAATCTCAAGCCGACTCCCACTGAGCTGGATCCCGAGGCAGGGCTTAATCCCACGACCATGAGATCATGACCTGAGCCGAAATCAAGAGTTAGTCACTTAGCCCACTGAGGCACCCAGGTGCCCCTAGAACTGCACTTGTAAGGAAGAGTCGAAAGCAGTAGGGGTCAAAGTGAGTCTGATCTGAAGTCTGGTGCTTTGCAAGTTAGCAGAGGTCTGGCTGTGGAACAGAAACGGGCCCCGGTCCCAGTCTCTAGCTGTCTTTCTCTCCTAAGTGCAGAGACCATCCTGTTTTCAGCGTGTGTTGTGAGGTCTGGCCGTGGTCTGTGCCTTTCAAATGCCTGTTACCTCTTGCAGGGCCTCTGAGCCAGATTTCTTGTTTTGTATAAATGGGGATAAAGCCTGCCTTCAGTCTCACTGCCCAGCTCACAACGGTGGCTCAATGCAGAGTTGCCGTGAAAGTGTTACCCCAAGTGCCTCGGTGCTAGAGCCGGGGGCAGGGCGGGGGGTGTGGGGAGACGGAACAAGGACTAGCGGGCCCCAGAGTTTCTGATTCCGTTGGTCTGGGAAGGAGCCTGAGAACTTGTATTTCTCATACCTTGCCAGGACAAGCTGATGGCTGGGGACCTCATTTTAAAAGCACATCCAAAGAACATGACCCACCAGGGCCCTTAGGTCTACCCTGTCAAGTTCACCCGTGCTCCCATGGTGCTCCCAGACACCAGCCCTGCGCATCTTTGCTCATGCAGCCCTAAGAGCTGAACTAGGTGGAGCTGTAGCCCCATTTTACAGGGAAGGAGACAGGCTGAGAGGCAGTGACGAGCCAAAGTCACCTCTCCAGGGCTGGGGTGGGGACTCCAGGAAGCTGCACTTGTCCGGGGAGGGAGGAGAAGAGTACCCAGGGAACCGGCCCCTGAAGCCGGCTCCAGGGGCGCAGCTCACTTTCCCACCTGCGGGTTCCTTTAGTTAGCATCTGGGTACATAAGTGCTTTGCAAAAGATGCTTGATCGGCCATGGTGAACCAGTTGCCACACCACTGCTTGTGCAGCGGGGGGGTGAGGGACCGTGGGATTTCTTTCATGAACGGACTCCATTTATTTTGTGAAGAGACCGAGCAGATCCTCTGAAAGGTAGACGGGTCTGGGCGGGCTGCCTGCTGCAGGCGGCAGTTTGTGGTGAGTGATAACACGAAGGCAGACAGGAGGGTGTCGACGATAAACATCCCACCCCCACCCCCAAAACTTGCCAAGAACCAGCCATGCCTTTAAAAGTGAAGCAAAACGATCTCGCTGCTAGGCCAAGTGGTTTCCTGGCCCTAAAACCCGCAGTGGAGGCGGTGTGTTTTGTAGAGAAGAAGCAGCGGGCGTGCGTTGCCGGCCGGGAAGGCGCTCACTGGTTGGACGGGGCAGGAGCGCACCCGCCTTCCTCCCAGCTTCCCGGCGGCAGGTGTCCTGCGGCGGCCGGTGGGTGGAGCCAGAGCCCGCCGGCGGCCCACGGACACGCCCCCAGCGCCGGGGAGCCCGGAGAGCGCGCGGGGAGCCCGCGGAGGGCAGGCCCCTCCACCTCACCCATGGGAGGGAGCCGCCGATTTCCAGAAGAAACAGCAAGGAGGCCTTTTTGTCCCAAAACCCACACACCCATCCCATCCTGGCTTGGCGCACTGCTTTCCAGGGTGTAACCTTAAAGGCAGAGGGAAGAGAAGGCAGGTCTGCGCATCGGGCGGTGTAACTTGAAACACTGCGCGGTAACTCCGTCTCGGGGAGGCACGTGTTTCGTCGTGCTTGTCGCTGTGCATCCCAGGGGTCCCTGAGCCCCAGTGGAGCACCCCGGAGGATGTAGTCTCTGCCGCCCTCGGGGGGGTTGCATCTCTAGAGCCAGGCGCTCCTAAGTACCGCGTGCCCGGCCCCAGCCCATCTGCTCTGCACTTCGTCAACCCGCACAGCGCCCTGCGAGCTCATCCTGTCACCCCGTTTCACAGACGAAGCCCTGTTGGTCTGGACAGGACAATTAGCCTGCGTTAGAGGAAAACTAGCTGGTTACCGACCAAGCTAATTAACTGGTAGAGCCAGGGCTCCCAATCAGACCATCTGCTTCAGAATGGGGATTGTAGAGATGATGAGCCCACAGTCCCTTTCCTCCCGGCCTTGAGCATCTAGAGAACAGACGAGTAAACAGACGCGCACAAGGCCGGGCAGCCCGCGCAGCAGTGGGCGTCTGTGTGTCCGAGGCCGGCCGGCGGGCATGCACGCATCAGCAGCCCGCTCTGGCTTAGATCCTTATTTTTTTTTTTTTTTAAGATTTTTTATTTATTTATTTGAGAGAGAGAGAATGAGAGAGAGAGAGCATGAGAGGGGGGAGGGTCAGAGGGAGAAGCAGACTCCCTGCGGGGCAGGGAGCCCGATGCGGGACTCGATGCTGGTACTCCAGGATCATGACCTGAGCCGAAGGCAGTCGCTTAACCAACTGAGCCACCCAGGCGCCCTGGCTTAGATCCTTATTCACACAGACCTCGCCGAAAGGCATTCCCGGTACATTTAGGGAAATTCGAACATGGGCTGGATGCTAAGTGATATGAAAGAACCGATGTTACCCGGATACTTTGTTAATCACAATGTTGGCATTGTGGTTGTTGCAAAAAAGGTGTTTGGTGCAGACAAGCAGATGCAGGCAGAAATCTGTAGGGGGGCAGATGCAGGCAGAAATTTGTAGGGGGGCGTGGTATCTAGGATTTACCTTCAAATACATGAGCCAACATTAACCAATCCGAATAGACGGGAGAGAGGGTACAGCTGAACGGGGATTGCCAATGATGCGTTGAAGTTTGCTGCTGGATGCATGGCGCGTGGGGGGGGGTCATTACACGAGTCTGTCTGTCTGTATACATGTTTGAACTTCTCCCAATAAATACTGTTTCAAAAACACTGAGCAGAAAACAAAAGCCGTGCAATCAAAGCTTTGTTGGTGGTATGGTACCTATTTGAGGAGCCGCCACTGTGCAACCCCGGGAAATGGAGGGAACACTCTGCAAATGTCTAGTTGATCATGTCGAGCAACCGCGACCTCATTACCACACCACAAAAAGCTCCCCTCCATTGCTGTTACTAAATGGGCTAGTGTCAACGTTTACATTTGTTTCCCTCCAGGTCTGGGGTAACAAATGCCAAAGTCCAAAAGGAAAAAAAAGAAATGTCATGAGGTGTCTGGGTGGCTTAGTCAGTTAAGCATCTGCCTTCAGCTCAGGTCATGATCTTGGGGTCCTGGGATCGAGTCCTGTATCGGGCTCCCTGCTCAGCAGGGAGCCTGCTTCTCCCTTTCCCTCTGCCCCCCCCCACTTGTGGCAATTTTTTGAATTGGAAAAGTATTTGACAAGATGCGTTCAAGTTACGGCGACAGCTAAAGAACAGTCTCATAAGTACGCTTCCTTCATTCGGCTCACATTTTAGTGATTTCTTCCTACCTGCCATGCCCCTGCTTCCTGATCCTGCCCACTGAAAGCAAACCTGTATTTGCAGCTGTTTGTATTAAAAGCAGATTTCTGGAAATGCCTTACCAGTGTACAGCTTACAACCCCCGTAGCCGAGATCGTCCTCACAAACCGGATTCAGATTCCAACTGGTGCTACCGTTTATCGTGTGTGTGTGTGTGTGTGTGTGTGGCCTCAAGTAAACTCCCTATCGTCTCTGGGTCTTAGCTTCTTCCCTGTCTCTAAAGTGAAGTAATCGAATTAAATGGCCTCCAGAGTATCTCTCAGCTCCATAATGCCATCGCCAATGGGTCTGTAATGAACCTAAATCCCATGATCCAAAAACAAAAACAAAACAAACAAAAAGCTGAGCTGTGAAGCAAGTGTAGGAGGACGGATCACAAACTGCAGATTTATGTGAAGGACACTACTTCACCTCTTTACACCTGGCACCCAACACAGGACCAGGCGTTTGTAGTAGGCGCTCAGATATTTTAGTAAATTTTAATTGAATAGGGATGCCAGTTACAGAGAGTTTCCTAGGGGCACCTGGGTGGCTCAGTAGGTTAAGCATCTGACTCTTGCTTTCAGCTCAGGTCATGATCTCAGTGTTGTGAGATCAAGCCCTACATTGGGCTCCCTGCTGGGCATGGAGTCTGTTTAGGATTCTCTCTCCCGCTCGGCCCCTCCCCTCCGCGTGCTCACTCTCTCTCTCTCTCTCTCTCTCTCTCAAACAAATAAATCTTTTTTAAAAAGAAAGAGTTTCCGGGGTGCTTGGGTGGCTCAGTCATTAAGCGTCTGCCTTCGGCTCAGGTCATGATCTCAGGGTCCTGGGATTGAGCCCCGCATCGGGCTCCCTGCTCGGCAGGAAGCCTGCTTCTCCCTCTCCCACTCCCCCTGCTTGTGTTCCCTCTCTCTCTGTGTCTTTCTGTGAATAAAATAAATAAAATATTTAAAAAAAAAAAAGAGTTTCCTACATCTTGGTAAAACAGAGTAAGAGATATCTCTGGTG